CCAAAAGTAATGTGTTTCCTGTCTCATCAGATGATGATAAGGACAAGAAAGGGTTGAATGATACAGAAAGTGCAGCAAATTTAGTTAAGTTGGAGACCAAGAGCCTTTCTGGGTTTAAAGATCAGGGTGACTTGCAAACTCATGGTGGTGGGCCTGCGAGGAAGGACAAGGAGGTGAATTTGAAGGGGAAAGTGAATTTGAAAGATCAAGTAGGGTCTCTGGCCCAGTTGAGGTCATCTGCAGGTACAGTGGAGGAATCAGGGGTGGGTGATCAGGTGGTTTTGGAGAAGTTGAAGGGTACTTCAGGTGGGGAAGAGAGGACTGTTGGAGCTGAAGCTCAACTGAATTTTCAGGAGAAGTCGAGAGGTTTTCCAGATAAGGTGGAGATTGTTGCAGTGAAAAATCAGGTTGATATGCAGACCCAGATTGGAGGTTTTGTGGGCAGGGTTGGGAATGTGGCATCTGGGAATAGAATTGACGACATTAAAATAAGGGATCAGTCCTCGAGTCAGTCAAGGTCTGGGGTTTCTCAGACTCATACTAGATCTTTTTCAGGACAGTTTGAAGGTGGTTTTGGAGTGAAGGATAAGGAATTGCCAACTAAAGTGACTGACTTGGATCTGTCGGCTTCTCAGACACAGCAGAAATTGTTTAAGGGTGGAGTTGATCAGGCAAGGAAGGAGGACACTGAACAGATAACAGAGGATGATCTTGAAGTTTCAAAAATGAAGGTCCAGAAACAACCTTTTTTGGGTTCAGAGCAATTTAGGAAGCTGCAGGGTAGGAGGGATGAGAGTGGATCTATTCATGGAAGCAACAAGCCTAGCTTTCCCAGAAAGTATTCTGAGAGTCAAGAGAGCATTGGTTCTCAGCAAGTACCATCGGCAGATCAGTTTCAAAGGGTGAGGCAGTCTAAGGGGAATCAAGAATTAAATGATGAGCTGAAGATAAAGGCAAATGAGCTTGAAAAGCTTTTTGCTGAACACAAACTTCGCATTCCTGTTGACCAATCCAGTTCTGCTCGGAGAGGCAAGCCTAGTGAAGTGCAATCTGAACTGGCAGCAAGTTTACAGTACAGAAAACCAGTAGCTGTAGAGATATCTCCTGTTCAGTTTCAGGAAAAGACGGTGCTTGAACCAACTGGGAGTTCTAGTGATACTGGAAAGTTTAGCACTCCACCAAGGAAGATAGTAGATCATCAGGACTGTGGCAGTTCTCTCAGGCAGAGTTTCTCTGAGATTAGTTTTTCAGATGATTCTAGAGGGAAATTTTATGAGAGGTACATGCAGAAAAGAGATGCAAAACTGAGGGAGGAGTGGGGTACAAAAAGATTGGAGAAGGAAGCCAAGTTGAAGGCCATGCAGGAAAGTCTTGAGCGGAGTAGAGCTGAGATGAAGGCAAAATTTTCCTGCTCTGCAGACAGACAAAATTCCTTGTCTGATACTCACAGATGTGCAGAAAAGCTCAGATCATTCAATTTTAATTCAAGTACAAAGAGAGAACAGGTATTTTATCTTTCAGTTGTCCATGGAAAATGAGTGCTGAAGCTAATAAGTTTCAGCATTAATTTTGTTATTTTTTTTTTCTTGCTTGTTGCATTGGAATTTCAAAGCTCCCTTTGTAAGGCTTTCTTTTTCCCTCAGCCAGTAGATTCCATTCATAGTGAAGAGGATGAAGATCTTTCCGAATTTCCAGAACAAATTTATTATGGAGAGGACAGATCATTCAATGAGGTGTCTTTAGGGGGCATTGCTTCTAGAAGCTCTCAAAACAAGAAGCTCTTGCTGAACAGAAATTCATCTTCATCCACCCCTCGCACCACAGTAGTGCCAGTTCCACGGTCATCATCCAAAATTTCCAACCCAAGTTCCGGGAGGCGGAGAGTACAATCAGAAAATCCTCTTGCACAGTCTGTTCCAAACTTCTCCGATTTCAGAAAAGAGAACACAAAGCCCTTGTCTGGAGTTAGCAAAGCGGCAAATCGCTTGCAGGTGAGAACCTATGCTCGCAGCAAGAGTTCCAGTGAAGAGATGCCTCTGGCCAAGGAAGAAAAGAACCAGCGGTCTCAATCCTTGCGCAAAAGCTCTGCTGGTCCTGTTGAGGTCAAGGATTTGCCCCCATTAAACTCGGATGTTGTTTTGGCACCATTGAAATTTGATAAAGAGCAAACTGAGCAGATCCCATATGACAAATTCTCAAAGAATGTGGAGTCAAAGCCTTTCCTCAGGAAGGGCAATGGTATAGGTCCTGGTTCTGGAGCAACTGTTGCGAAACTGAAAGCTATGGTAGCATCTGAGACTTTAAAAAATGAAGAATTTGAAGAATCAGCCTTTGAGGCAGAAGATTCAGTTGATGAGGCAAAGGAAGAAGAAGATGAGGGACTTGAAACAACCGAGATTGAAGATTGTGCTAATATGGATAATGGCAAACCAAGACTAAGCCTGGATTCAGACAAGAGGGGTACATCTGGATCTGAGAATGATGAATCTCTGAGATCGATTTCTCAAATTGATCCTTCTTCAGTTGCTGAATTGCCTGTGTCTGTGCCTTCAACATTCCATGCTGCAGGATCTCTGCAGGACTCACCTGGGGAAAGCCCTGTGTCATGGAACTCACGCATGCAACATCCATTTTCCTACCCCCATGAGACCTCAGATATTGATGCTTATGTGGACTCTCCAATTGGGAGTCCTGCATCATGGAATTCTCATTCTCTGACCCAAACAGAGGCTGATGTAGCTCGGATGAGGAAGAAGTGGGGAAGTGCACAGAAACCTATTCTTGTTGCCAATTCATCCCATAATCAGTCTCGAAAGGATGTGACCAAAGGGTTCAAACGGTTGTTAAAGTTTGGAAGGAAAAGTCGTGGGGCAGAGGGTTTGGTTGATTGGATTTCTGCTACCACTTCTGAAGGAGATGATGATACAGAAGATGGGCGAGATCCTGCCAATCGGTCATCAGAAGATTTGAGGAAGTCAAGAATGGGATTCTCACAGGGTCACCCTTCAGATGATGGCTTTAATGAAAGTGAGTTGTTCAATGAGCAAGGTAAGCTATATTTGCTTTTCCTGATTGATTAGCTATTATTCTTCTCTTTTCTTAGAATCTTAATCTACTCATATTTAACCTTAGGAAGTGCTTGCAACTATTTCTTTCAAGTGAAAATATCTCATGGTAGCAAGGTTTTAATTTACCTCAAGTGTTCTAGCTATCATGGGTGTATGGGTTGACAATGATTTCTTGCTCCCTTAACTGTTGGTTCATGAAGGGAATTTATAGACAGATCTGAATCTTGATTCTATTTGAATGTCAAGGAGTTATAAAAGCAAAATGCTGCATTTAGTTTAAAGTAACCTCCTTTTCTATTCATCCTGCACTAATTTTTCTGCTGTATTGTTTCTTTTTTAGAGTTTCAATGATTCTTGAGACCTCTACCAGTGCTGGAGCTTTTGGCATAAAAAGCAGTGCCTGGTCTTTGATACATGGATCTCAATTTTTTCTCTGCTTGCATGCTGATATTTAATTGGTAGTCAATGAGTTGACCTCCTTTGCTCATCCTATGTGAATAAAAATGGTTTAGAAATCATATACCAGAAATTGTTAAAAGTGGCATGATTTGAACATAATTATCAATGAAGCGAGCATGACCTCTGCTCTAGATCTTTACATCTGAAACTTGTGTATTATTGAATAAATTGTCCTTTATGTAATACCTTCAGGTGAACAGAGATTTGGCTGGCTCTTTTACAAATTGCACATATTATGCCACCAAATGGTGGAGTTTTTCCTAGGTTTTCTTAATTGGATTATGAGTTTTGATTGCAATGCTGAATTGTTGCATAGATGACTTGACCCTTGTCATTTTTTTTGCAGTTCAAGCATTACATAGCTCCATACCAGCACCTCCAGCAAACTTCAAATTGAGGGATGATCATTTGTCTGGAAGCTCTATTAAAGGTGAATGTTTTCTTGTTAATATTCTAAATTACTCAATTCTTAAATTTCTTCACAATAAATTGCTTGGCATGTTAGGCTGTTGAATATTCTGTCAAGTCATGTTTAAAGGACTTCCCAGCTTTATCTGATGTATTTCCAGAAAAGTTTTCATTGCACATTGCACAGAGTAGCTTCAAATTAGGTGCCTCTCTAATTTCTCCAAATTTGAACCTGAATCTGTTAGGGTAAAGTAAGATGCTTGTTACTGAGATGAGCTGGTAAGCTGGTCCAAATACCTTGGTGTTTTGTGCTGTCGCTTGACTTGATATGAAGACAAACCTGAGAACATCAATGCTCTGTTCATTGACTTTATAGCGAGTTAATAGAGCTGAGCTTGTGGTCATCACTTAAACTATTTCAATTGCATGCAAGCATTAAAATGCTATTGATTGGTTGATATCTTTCCATGATTATGGGGCCAACCAAGGGACTAGCTGCATGATAGGGGAGGCATTCGCCCTGCATGTGTTTCTTACTGATGTAGGATTCAGGAACATGAAACTTCCACTCAAGGTAATGCTTTCTTCAAAATCTTCTTACAGAACTGAACACCCCTTCACAAGTGTTTGAGAGGTAGGTTTTGTTCGTGAGCATGGTTGCCTGGTCTAATGCATATCCTCTCATGTTAAAGCTGGCATGTGATCCATGACCTATGCTCTGCATAAAAATCAATAAACGAGGTGTAGCATGTGTATGTCAGTATGTTTGTACTGTTGCACCGATAAAATAAGAATCATGTTCTGTCTTAGTGCATGTTCGGGAGTGATAAATGTTAGCATTTCAAGTGCTTTTCGCTCAGAAATATATCAAAATACTATTTTTTATTTTTTAAACTTCATTTTTGATATTAGCACATCAAAACAACTCAAAAGCACAAACAAAAAATTTAATTTTAAGCCAAAAAAAGTTCAAATTTTGGGCAAACAACATGTTGGCTGCAATGCCAAACACACCCTTAGACTTGTTTGCATGATTATTGTCATGCATGGCTAGTTTCCATGAATTGTTTTTTAGCGTGTACTATATAAAACCTTGGACCAGTAGGGGTAGGTTTTACAATCTTGCACTTCACTGGACCTGTATGAATGTGAATGTTTTCAATACATGCATTATGATACAATGGAAGACATTCTATGGATATTTGCCTAGGGGTAGGTTTTACAATCTTGCACTTAACTGGACCTGTATGAATGTGCATGTTTTCAATACATGCATTATGATACAATGGAAGACATTCATGGATATTTGCCTTGCATGACTCTAATCATTTAATATTGCACATGTTCATGATTCTTATTTGATCGGTGCAGCATTACAAAAACACATGAAAATCAGGAATTTGGGATTTGTTTATCGCCTTTGAGATTTGACTCCTTTAGCTTAACAGCTTAAGAAAGAGGCTTATGTTTGATCTATTGAGCTAAATTAATTTTTTTCAAGTCTGACCATCTGAGTGGCACACAAGTGGTTCAAGTCCTTTGCAGACCCGTTGTTAACAAGTTTTCAAGACATTTTATGTTCAGTGTAGCTACCTAACAGAAAACAAGGAAAAAAAACTGTTGATTGTTTATGGAGTATTTAGTAAGAGTTTGATTTCATTTACTTTATGTGATGAACAACGTTTTATTAAAAGTTATCTGTTTTGGAGTTGGTTATTTATGATGATTTGCTTACACATTTTAAGTTCAAATTTTACAGCACCACGGTCATTCTTCTCTCTGTCATCCTTCCGAAGCAAAGGTAGTGACTCAAAGCTTAGATAATCACTTAAGAGAAAAGCTTGGAGCTACTCCTGGAATCATCAATCAAGTGATAGTGTAAAGGGATTACATATAGGATACGAACGCATGTGCTCGAATATGTTGTATATTGTATTGAACCAAAATTGCCTACTGGCGTTCTTGGGATTTTGGTAGTCTAGGAGCATTCTTTTTTCTATTACTCAGTCTCCAGCCATGTGTGATGTATATGAGAAATCGAACTCTTGCTAGAATTAGAGTTGTTGACAATTTAAGGAGAGTGATGTGATTATATGCGGAGCAATAGCTTGTATACAATGCTTGTTATTTTACCATTCTTCTCCACTCCATTAATTTCATGTCATCGTTTCTTGTTAAAATTGCCAATACTTGTTAAGCAAGTCAATGCTCTTGATGTCGATAGGCATCTTTTGCACAATGTAGTGTCATCAAGGAAAGCTGTGTTCCATTGATGTTGACCCCTGGGCTCATAGGATTGTTGTGGATGAGGATGTTCTTCAAGTTCCGATTGCTGAAACCTACTCAGTTTTATGTCGCGTGTCCCCGCGGGCTGATAGGCTGAAGGATTTACATCCCTCTCAATATTGTCACCTCAAAATAGATTGGTCGAAGCTATATCAAATTCGAATGCAGAAATATAATATTATGTATTTATGTGATCGATAAAACAGCAGCTCGTTAAATTTTATGCTGACAAATGTCATGATCGTGTGGTTAATGTCATGATCGTGTGGTTGCATTACATATGGACATGTAATTACGTAAGTACAAGTTGTTCTGTATATTTTTTAATCTAGGCTCTCCCTGGTCAAGAAAAGAATCATAGAGGAGAAACATGAAGACAAAATCTCGTTAGGATTAATGATTGAATCATCATAAAAGTTGATATCTCTTCATTTACAGCTCATCTCATTAGGTTTCTGTGCCCAGCACTCTATGGACATTCAAATGGCCGGCTTTGTTGGCGTAGCGTACTGTCCACTTGCCATCCCCTTTGGTGAGAGGCAAATCAAGCCAACCATTTATTGCATTGGCCGCAACCTTTCTTGTGTGCCTACTCTGCTTTCACATAGTTGACATGGCTCATACCATCAGTTCTAGCAATAAAACTTGGTCAAATTAAGCTTTAAAGTTAATCTCAGCCTAGTCAAAACTTAGCCAAATAGTGCCCACCACAAGGGGGCAGAGAGAACTAGCTGGAAAACAACAAACTAAATTACCGCTTTGTTTCAAGCAATTTAGTGGTCAGAGAGGACTAGAAAACAACAAAACTGAGGTGAAGAATCCGGTTTTTATGACTTCGTTTCCAATAAGTATCTTGATTTTAGTACAAAAAACAGGCGGCATGATCGAAACTCATTAACTTAACCAGCTCGATACTCACAACCAACCTCTACACAAGAAGTTTGTACAACCCTGTTGTTTTCTGCAATGGCACGTTTACTTCTCTCCTACAAATCCTAACCTTCTTTCTCTAACACTTTACTCACATCTCACACGCCATTGCTTGTACTTGAATCAATGGCTGATTCCTCCTTTGAAATTGATTACCACTCCACTGGCCGCTCACGAAACTACCATCAGCGTAGGCAACGCAGGCACCCCAGCACTCCTGTTAACTCACAGTATGATTCACGTTCATTTACACAATTCAGCTTTACAAATACTCCAAATAGGCTTCGCCAAACTCCTTCCACGCCTTTCGCCACGGACAATGATACGTCATGGCAAGATGAGCTTTCATGGCAGTTTCAGCCCACAGGGTGGAATGGTACACGCAGCCTGGGAGCAGCTCTTAGCCCATGGGCAGCTAGCACACCATCAAGCAGACATATTTTTCAAAGATCAGCAAATGACTACTATCTTTCACGTACACATGGTGAATTTAGAGCCTTCACAAATCCATACTATGATCAATCTAGCTATGGTGCTGTACCTGCTGGTAGGCTTGAGCTACAAAGCTACGCTGCCAGAAATAATGAGAGGTCGGTGGTTCATGTTAGGGATTATAGCTCGGCTGCTTACAGTAAATCCCATCATGGGATTTCAAGACCAATCTCTCAGGCTATTAAGGGAAGGGCTCGCAGAAATGCAAGTCCTTTGGTTGATCAAGATGAGCTTAGCATGATTGACTATGACAGCGAGGATGTTGAGAAACAGGGAGAGTTATCGCAGACTGACACTAATCTCCATGGTGATAAAGATTCTAGGTGGATTTCAGTGTCACATGCTTATATGGAAGATGATGGTGTTAGTCCATTGTACCACAGTACTCCACATTGTGGGCATAATCATCATGGTCATGAATTATCCCATAGTAGACATGATGATTTCCTCAGTGCTTATGAAGTTAATCAATCAACCAGTCGTTATTACGTTCCTGGTAAAAATCCATATGATGACATTGATCAGGCTTCGGAGTACGAAGATGAAGATTATGACGAGGAGGATGATGACAACGAAGAAGCAGCACGAAGGCAAGTAGGGTTGTTTAGTCTGTTCAAACACTCGACGAAATGGGATATGGTTCTTGTGTTTTTGGGTTGTTTAGGAGCTCTCATAAATGGAGGATCTCTTCCATGGTATTCTTATTTTTTCGGAGATTTTGTGAACAGGATTGCGAAACACTCTGATGACAATATGATGAAAGAAGTGGAGAGGGTAAGCGTTTTCATTTGTGTTTCTACAATTTCCTCTCTTTCCCCAACTATGCAGGACGAATTTTTCGATGCCTTGAAAATATTGGTTTCAGATGCACATTAATCAACATTATTTTTTGTTTTGATTACTATTATTACTGTTTTAATTTGCAATGGCAGATATGTCTGCTTATGACTGGAGTAGCAGCATTAGTTGTGGTTGGAGCCTATTTAGGTAAGCGGGAGATTATTAAATGAACTCTGAATAACAACAGCATCAGCAATTTACTTTGTCGCTATCCATTTTATGGTTTTACAAAAGTGTCTTTATCGTCAAGTAAGTTGACATAAATCACTTTGCCTAAACATAATTTCTCTCTTTCGGGTGAAACAGAAATCACTTGTTGGAGATTGGTTGGAGAACGATCAGCTCATCGAATAAGAAACTTGTATCTGAGCGCAGTTCTAAGGCAAGATATCACTTTCTATGATACAAAAGTCAGCACTAGTGATATTATGCATGGAATTTCAAGTGATGTTGCTCAAATCCAAGAAGTGATGGGGGAGAAGGTCAATCCTACCTTTCCTTTCCTTTGTGATTTGTCTGGAATATGTGTAATACATATAATATGATTACTTTATCATTGAGTACTAATTTTATGCTCTTAACTTGCCCAGAATATAAGCCTGCAGTGTGTTTTTTTAAGCTAACAGGCCGGCTCAATTGTTTTTGACTAGATCATGGTAGACTATTAGTACTGAAATGCAGTGGATCTTTTTATCATATTTGCAGATGCCACATTTCATCCATCATATATTTACCTTCATTTGCGGTTATTGTGTCGGGTTCTTAAGGTCATGGAAGGTATCTCTGGTGGTTTTGTCAGTCACTCCATTAACGATGTTTTGTGGCATTGCATATAAGGCCATTTATGTCGGTCTAGCTACAAAAGAAGAGGTATGACACCAAGTTCAAGGACTCAGATATGCATCATTTCACTTACTTGGAAGAATATAGTGGACAATTGTTTTTGGCTTGTTATAATGGTAGGTTTCTTATCGGAAAGCTGGTGGCGTAGCTGAGCAGGCAATCAGTTCAATTAGAACTGTATTTTCTTTTGTTGCTGAGGATAATTTGGCCCGGAAATATGGTGATTTATTGATGAAGTCGGTGCCTATCGGTGCAAAGATTGGGTTTGCTAAGGGTGCTGGAATGGGAGTTATTTACTTGGTTACCTACTCAACATGGGCACTGGCCTTTTGGTATGGATCTATACTAGTTGCAAGGAAAGAGATAAGTGGAGGTGATGCAATAGCTTGCTTCTTTGGTGTCAATGTAGGGGGGAGGTAATCATGTCTTAAATTCTCGTCATCAAATGTTGTCTGCATGTTTGTTTGCTGATGAGATTTTAATCTCTTCAAGCCATAACTCTGAAAGCATGAATTATTGTCTGGATTTTTGTGACAGAGGATTGGCATTGTCTCTATCATATTTTGCTCAATTTGCGCAAGGCACAGTAGCAGCAACCAGAGTATATGAAATTATAGACAGAATTCCTGATATAGATCCTTACAGCCCCCATGGGAGGATACTGTCAAGTGTTGGTGGAAGGATCGAGTTCAAAGGCGTTACTTTTGCTTACCCATCGCGTCCTGAAACTGTAATTCTCCGCTCTCTCAATCTAGTTATTCCATCCGCAAAGACTCTTGCACTGGTTGGTGCTAGTGGTGGTGGCAAGTCCACCGTTTTTGCTCTCATAGAGAGATTCTACGATCCCATCAATGGTAAGCTCCTCATCATCGTACTCATCATATTGGACTTGGCTCAGAAATGGAGGCTATGTCAGTGAGACAATATGAAGCATCTAATGGGGTTGAGTTCTTCATATTATTGCAGGAGTAGTAACCTTGGACGGTAATGACCTGAGGACACTTCAAGTCAAGTGGCTAAGAGGTCAAATAGGCATGGTTGGGCAGGAGCCAGTTCTGTTTGCCACCAGCATTCTAGAAAATGTGAAGATGGGAAAGGAGAATGCCACAAAGAAAGAAGCAATCAATGCTTGCATTGCTGCCAATGCTCACAGCTTTATCTCTGGCCTTCCCTTCGGCTATGAAACTCAGGTACCTTAGCACTAACACAACCATATT